TATCCGTGGTGGGCAGAGCACAGATAGCCCATCGTGTAGCTTTGTGCTTAATTACAAACAAACAAAACAAACTTAAGCTTTTACATGCAAGGGATACATCAGCTAACAATGACTTTCAGGAAGTTAAAAAGAGTATTGTTAAGCTAAAATTAAAAATATTGGATTTTATTATAATGAACCTATTCTATTGAGCAACAGATTTCAACATTTGGCTTGTGCAGATGAGAAACTATTGGAGGGAAGGAAAACAAAAGGGGCAGAGAAGAATGTGTATGTTAGGGAGGTTATATTTATAGGTGATTCCTTGATAAGACATGTGGATAGGATAGTCTGTGGGGTAAATAGGGAGAATAGAATTAGATTATGTTACCCAGGGGCACAGGTGAAGGATATAACTGACAGAGCAGGAGTTATAATAAAGGGGGCTAGCAGAGTTGCAATTTCTGTTGTGCACACAGGGGCTAATGATGTAGGGAAAAGTAGATCAGAGGAGCTAATTGAAAGGGGGTTGATAAAGGCATTTAGAGAAAAAGTCCATAACTTAATTTTGTCAGGGATGCTTCCCAGAATTAATTTTGGGGATGAAGTTATAAGTAGGTCACTAAGACTAAATTCTAGGCTTAGATTAATATGTAAGGATGAACAGATTGGCTGGTTGGACTTGTGGGATCATTTCAATGGGAGAAGGGAGCTTTTTGGAATGGATGGTTTACATTTAAATAAGGTAGGGTCTGGCTTTTTTGCAAGGGCTATTAACTCATCTTTGAGGGAAGATTTGAATTAGGACTAAACAGTAGTGAAGCCAGGATAAACTAAATGCAAAAAAAAAAAAAAAGAATGTAGAGAAAAGTTTAGCATAGGAAATAAGTATAGAAGTAGTTCTAAGGATAGGCTTAATCATTACATTACTGTTGTAATGCTACAAGTATAAGAAATAAAATAGATGACCTTGGGGCACTGGTATGAATGGAGGAATTTGATATAACGGGAATAACTTAAACATGGTTAAACATAGATGATTTTGATGACAGAAATTTCTTTGAAATACAGGGTTATAGGTTATTTAATACGGAAACAGTACTAAAGGGAGGAGTAGGAGTGGCTTTATATGTAAAATACGAGTTACATCGTATTGAAGGTGAGGATATCAATGATAATCGCAAGGAGATTGAATCCATTTGGGTTTCCATTAACAGATATAAAGGGAAAAGGCTTTAAATGGGAATTTGTTACATAAAACCAGATGACACTGATGAAATTAGTGAGAAACTTTACAGGGAGATTAAGATTTTAGCTGTTAATGAAGCCGTAATTATTGGTGCTTTTAATTTCAGGCATATAGATTAGGAAATTCTGGAGTCAAACTGTGAGGGAGAAATGTTTTTGGAAACTGTTCAAGATGGCTTTCTTCATCAATTAGTCAAGGAACCTACTAGAAACAATGTCATTTTAGTTTTATTGTTAACTTCAAATATAGAAATGATTGAGAGGGTGGAAATTGGGGTACATCTTGGTGCCAGTGATCATTGCTATATTAGGTTCGATGTTTTGCTGCATATGGAATTAAGGAATAATGATATTTTGGTTACAAGTTTCAAAAAAGAAAAATTTTGAAGGAATGTGACAAGAATTATCTGTTGTGAATTGGGCAGCTGAGTTACTTGGAGACTTTTAAAGATAAATTTTTAAATATTCTAGGTAAACATATTCCTTATAGAATGAAAAGAGTAGCTGCAAGTAAAAAAACCCAAGTTGGCTCACAAAGATCTAAAATTAAAGAAAGGCATCACAAACTAAAAAAATTTAAATTAACTGGTATGATGAGAGATTTAGAATATTATAGGAGATCAAGAAAGTTGATGAAACAGGAAGTTAGGACATCAAAAAGGATGTATGAGAAAAGGTTTGTTGAAAATATAAACATTAATAGTAAGGATTTCTTTAAATACATTTAGGATAAACAAAATGCTATGATGGGAGTAAGACACTTGAGGGATGATAAAGGAAGGCTTGTATCTGATGACTATGAGATGGTTAGGTTATTAAATTATGTTTTTCTTCAGTTTTTGCTAATGAAGATTTAAGCAGTATACCACATCTTGAACAGTTGCTAGATCAAACAAAATGAGCTTGTTAAGAAAAAAATGAGAAGATAGGTCTCCTGGGCCAGATAATATATACTCAATGGTTTTGAAGGAGGTTAAGGATTGCATATGTGAGTCACATGCTACTATTTTTTGTAAGTCCTTGAATAGTAGGCAGGTACCAGAGGATTGGAAGTTAGTTAATGTCACTCATCTTTTCAAGGAAGGTGATAAAATTATCCCAGTAATTATAGGCCCATTAGTCTTATATCAGTTGTGGGAAAAATTTTGGAAAGTCTGATAAAAGATACTTTGCAAAGTCATTTAACAAAGTTTAGAATTTTA